AGAGCTTATCCGAACACAAAATAGCCTGCAAGAGTATGTGGGTCCAAAAATCAAAATTGCCCGAACCCATTGCTCGCACAGAACACCAGATAGCCAAACGCTTAGCTGGATATGGGGACTATACCAACCAGTAAAGTAAATATTAGGGAGGTGAAAGAAATCAACAAATCAGCTGACACACTGAATAGAAGGAATGAGTGTAGGAAGTTAAGCGAAAGCTACTGGTGGCTGTTGGATAGGCTTGGAGAAAGAGAATGTGAGGAACGAAAAGTACCACCAAGCAAGAGAAGGAGGCCTGATTAGGCTGAAATCTGGTTTTGACTCTTACATCACACTCATTTCAAGACAATGGTAACACACAAAACGCGTGCAATTGGACTCAATCACATGCGGTAACATTGCAGTATCAAAAGCCTACGTGCTTTAGGGGAGGATGCAGCTATTCGGTTTCAATTGCACCCATTTCATGCATCATCCGTAGCCACTTAACTGAACTTATAAGTAAATATAGAGGCAAAACATAAGACATCCAACCAAAACATGAGATGCATAAGCAGACCAAATTTTAATATAAGAAGGAAATAGGTTTGAAGCCGTCCACCTTTCTTGCCTTCGTGTTTTTGGTGAATTATCGTTAAGCATGGTGTCTTGTTCTGACGATGCCCGTCACATGACGGATGAAAGCTCAGCAAGGATTGATCGGGGCCGCAGAGCGGTGGGCCGAGGACCTATTTGCACAAATTTTCTACCACAGTTCCAAGGTAACCCCCAATAGCTTCCGGTGGTACCAACTTACGAATCCCTTCCACTCTCCTCTTCAAACGAAATAAAAGGTACTCCAACATAAAAGTTGGAGAGTATTTAAACTTTCCATACCATGAGGCCATATAACAAAATAGTCATCCATGTTTCTAACCGACAATTTAGAAAGCAGTTTGCCTGTTCCAAATAGAGTTCCTGAAGTTTGGCCATATAGTTATTAGCCACGATGGTAGCTAAGCAAGATCCCATCGTAAGCCCTTGTGTCTGTCCATAAAACTTGCCATCAAAGCTAAAGTAGCTGATACTCATGGATAAAATAAGAAGTGTAAGAATGAAGGCCATAGTAAACCTTATTCCTTTTATGATCTCTGGATGCTTCTCCAGAGTTTGTACTAGAGCCTGAATACCTTCTTGAACAGGAATATTTGTGTGAATAGACACAGCGTCAAAACTCACTGGCTTATCCTCCTCTGAAAGTATCTGATTATCAATCAATTTTACAGACTCGCAAGAATTTTCAACTGAATATGGCCAAAAATTATCAGCCTTTCGTAGTTATGCGTATAAAAAAATGTGAGATTCTATTCATCACGCCTTCTCTATTATTTACAATTAATCTAAAAGAGACGCTCTTCTTGTGATCTTTAGGGTGAGCATAAGCCGTGTGGACCCTTGCCTCTCTCTGGAGCAGTGAATTCGTTTTCCACTTCTCCATCTCACTATTACTAACGCATACCTTAAGGGCATCCTTCAGTCTAGTCTTAAGTCTTTCTTTTGGATCTCCCAGTAAAAGCCTATACGTATCAGTATCATTTGAATGAGCTAGCATTTTTTCTACATAACTTGACCTACCCATGACTACCACTGCTCCTCTGTTGGCTTTCAAAACGATTATATTATTATCGCATAAATATTTAGGGACCATACTAAGAATAAAAACTATCTTTGGCGGGAATATATGTTCAAGATGAGTGGACGCCTCCAGCTTAATAATATTTCTTACCTCCTCAGTCAATACTTCAGACAGGATTGTCTAAGCCTGGTTTTGGTTCTAATCAATTTGAGTAGTCTGTTAAAGCTTGCAATGAGGCTTGTTTTAACTAAGCCATATGAAAATATGAAGACCAAGATTGTGTGGCCCTCGATATGGTCGTAGTCTGCTTTAGATTTTAAAAAGTGGGTTGGCCTCGTTGTCGCAACTTGGTCTTGTTGTCAGGGCGAATTAGCAGAGCGTACCTTTTCCCAAGTTCTCTGCCATAGTACGGACAATGGCAAGACTCACTAATGATGTCGACTACGATGCCGGCGAAACGTCTGAGAATGCACCAAGCCCACGGTCTGATGCCGGTAATTATGATAACTACTATGACAGACGACTTCGGACGAAGTGCGTCCTACTAAGTCCCCCTGACAACAAGGCCAAGTTGCGACAACGACGTCAAGCCACTTCTATTAACCATACGAGATCTGAACAAGTTCCCTATTAGTGGACCTTTGTAGATTAAAAAGTTTATCCAGTAAACAAGACATAGGAACAACATTATGAGAAATACAAATTCCAAAAAATCCAATTGTATTGACTTGCCGGGATAGTGTTTCCTTGGTTATAATGCAGCGAGAAGACAGGTGACGAGAAGTCGAACTGTACATACATTGTAGCTACGAAGAGTAACTGGGTTTTGATGAATCTGCTGAGATAACATTGTTGGGGAGACCTTCATTCCGTATGAAAGTGCATAGAGAAGAGATTCGTAGATTGATCTTACCAAAAGACGACATATGAATCCCGTTGTACTGCAGCCGTTTGGCTATGACGTCTAGGTTGACGCAGTCCACGGGACATCCTCCCTCGCTTCGGGTGAAAAGGAGCGGAGCTTTCGTCCATC